ATTCCGACTTTAATGGTTGTCAACACTTAATATAATTCAAGCGTACGTTATCACGCGAGTCTATGGACTAACGGTATATGGACGGCCACGAATGAACCAGTTTAAAAGGGCTGCGGTGTTTAAAATAACCAAATTAACATACACGGATAACAAACAATCATATGTTTTAGTCAGGAAGCCTTTTACAAGTAAGCATATGTTCATTTACTCACCAGATATGTTTTAGAAACTCTCCAGAGCTTATGGAAACCGTCCTGTGTTGCCGTTAGCATCCGGGAAGAGTAGGCTAGGCTGCTCCGGGAATTCCCTCGCTAGTTTGCTTCGAATTAAAGGAGAAGTGTCGATTTTATTTTACAGATGGGTAACAACGCACAAAATGGCATTAAGCGTGACAGAAATGTGTTGAACAAGTACATTTGATGTTTTTATGCACTATGTATGCGTGAGCACATATAAAAACATTCTTGAAAAGAAGTCGATAGTAATGCAGTTAAGCTAGATACACAAACGACCATGAATGAACCGCAGAAGATTAAAATTGTCACTACATTCTAAAGTTATTAACTTAACAATATGTTTACAACTGTATTTCCTTAAAGAAAGTCAGTAAAATACCAACATTTAGGTAGTTTGACTCACCAGTTGCTGTTCTAAACTTCAGATGGAAAATGGCGTCTGGAAAATTCTTCAGTGACTGGGGCTGCGTGAATTCCCGGATGTTGGAAATAACACCACCAAGTGTAAAAAAGATAACTCCTTGATTTCGCACTGAATAAAATCAATTCTAACTCTTATTATATTCATTTATCAAAATCTAACTCTTTAACGTCAACACTTTACTCTAAAATGCTTCAACACCGAGAATTTAACTCTGATGAATTTGCTGTGTACATGTGATTTTTCTAAATTAACAAAATTTGAATCAATAAACTAACAGGCAGCTGCAGAACCAAATGTGAAACCAAGGGTTTATGTGCTGTTCGTGAATGTGACCAGTAGATGTCGACACACTTCAGCAAATTAATAAAACATTACAGTAACGATCTCTTTTGCACCACAGTCGAGAGGAAGCCTTGATGTTTTATAATCGATTGTACAGCCATCACCTTTTTTTGAGCTTAACAAATGCACTTTTGTTTGTATTTTTACAAGTTAGAAAATAGGTATATCCCTATAAGTAAGGTAAGTTATGTTCAAAATGTTTTGTTATTTTACAGGCTCATTTCAAGATACATAATTTAATATAATAACATATTATAAACAAAGTAAAACTGACAATGAAAGTCACTCTGCAGTTTAATTTTTAAAACCACTTGTAATAATAAAATAAATACTGAGAGACCAGTTTAGAGCAAGTTCAGTAAACCAACAGACAAGGTAAAAACTTTGAAACATTACTCAACGTAGACTGTTCAGTAAAGATTTTATTTTAAAAATAAAGTTGTAAAATGCTAATTTTACATTGAGATAAACTGGACAAGACAAAATCACACATCCAACAGTACATGTATGTATCTTACTACATTTTCTACTCACACCTGACAACATACAGCACTTTATTTAATGCAGTTTAAGGCAGCTTAAAAGACAAAATGAATAAAGTCAAATATGAGAGTTCAGTTCCTAAGGCACTCTTAGCCCCACATAATACTTGTTTTTATAGTCACTGAGGATTCAGTTCAACAGAAATGTATTGAACAAAGAGATTCATAGAGCAGCTTTTCTGACCTACAAGCAAACCAAAATGGGTTTAAAATGCTATCTGATAATCTATAGCCCCTTTCACACATACAGACCTTTCCGGAAAATTGGAAAAGGTTGTATGTGTGAACAGGCCCTTTTTGAAAATACCGGTAAATTCGTTCTGGCTATTTTCTGGAAAGAGAAGTTGTAACATTACCGTCAATTTGCCGGAATGCTGCGCTGTGTGAATGCAGAAGGAAGATTGCCGGAAAGAGCGCGTCCACGTCTAGAACGTGCTGACGTGAGACGTCTGCTTTAGCCAATCAGAACAGTCAGACGCATTTACGTCCACGCGGTTTATGAGAATAAAAGCCTTTAGAATATTTTTCCAGACACCTTTAGCTGCTAGATGTTAGTCAGATAACGTTTCTATGTTCCTTCTTAATGCTAACTGTGTAAATAATTATCGATAAAATGTTTATGATAATCCGTTGTTTGTTTACCTTCAAGCTTTGCGTGTGCCCGTGAGCAGCATAGCACCAGCACACACACATATCATGAACATCTCGACATGCGAAAATGTTCCTCTGTTTTCATTGGAGTTGTACTCAATACCAGGCCCGGATTGGCTAATCGGGAGGACCGGGAGAATTCCCGGTGGGCCGGTCTGTTTTTTGGCCGCGAGGGCCGGTGTCCCTAGCTGCTTGCACTCTCAGCAGTTACACTTTTTTCTTTTATTTATTTATTTGACCATAGCTTTACTCTTTTTAATCATTATTTCACCGTAGTGCCGCTCTTTTTATTTATTTTCTCGCAGCCCCGTGAGAAAAATGCAGCCTGCAGGTTAACTAACGTTAATGATGATGATGTAATGCAACTATCGACCCCAAACAGCGGCACCTTAGTGAATATAAGAATTCGAATAAAATGAATAAAACACCTGCTCAATGAAAATCAAATGATTCACTACATTAATATATCTGACATAACTTGATCAGAAATCTAAAAATAGGAGAAAAAGATTGAGCCATCAAAAGAAAGTAGTGCTGTGTCTTAAGGGTCGCAAGTCATTAGTTATTTTTTACTCTCACTAATAGCGCCAATGTGGTCCAGTGGTAAGCACATTGCAATTCAATGTCACAGACCTGTGATCGAATCTCCCATGAAAATTATTTTTTTCGATTTTATTGTTAAGACATAAAATACTGTTAGGGCTGTTGGACATTTGAATTTCTAAAGCAGCAGTTTTCTTGAAAAAGACGTGATAGTGCCATTAGTAACTGAATTGGAATCAGTTGTGAACTGAGGTGGGCCGGTCTGGCTTGAAACTCCAGGCCTGAAAATGAGTCCCACTCCGGCCCTGCTCAATACTGATCCTTCCGAAGAGTTTGTAATGCAGTCAAATGTTTGCAAACACAAACGCAGCCGTTTAGAGATGATGTCAGAATTTTCCGGCATTTTGGATTGGATGTGTGAATGCTCTTTTCCGGAAAAATTTCGTAACGTCCTCGCCTGTGTAAACAGCGCTTTTTTGAATACACCGGTAAAGTCGTTCCGGTATCACTGTGTGAAAGGGGCTACTGTCTAGTACCTCTATTGTCTGCTTAACCACTGCAAGTGTCTGGGAAAACATTTCAGTATAATATACACTGAAATATAAAGAATTCTTTAAAACATTTTGTAATGTCTTGTATAAACAAATCTGGGAAAACACCTCATTAAAAACAGAACATGGCGTCTCTATCAAAATAAAGGAGAGCTTTTCTGTTAACCAAAGCAAGCAGCTGTTTGTAAACACTCACTCGGATGGCATGGCAGAAAAATTAACAAACATAGAGAGACATAAAAACAAAATTACTATTAATTTACAATTTACATAAAATCATAGCTAAAAGACTGGCTGGCACAGATTGCGCTTGAGATATTGGAGAAGAATTTCAATGGTATTTTTTGCACATTACAGCCACTTCTGACAGCTAAATGACCATTTTTATCTTTCTTCTTAGGTTTAGTTACAGAAATAGAGTTAAAGAGTTATGTGTTAAAGTTTGGAAGATATTTCAGTAAAGAGCTTATTACAGTATTATAAATCTTTAAGCATTCAGGTCTTTTCTGAAATAGGATATTAGGGGATATTTCAGTGTGTGTGACAGATACATTAAGCGTCATCTAAACCTTTTTGCAAAGGTGTTTAAATTATGAAACAGTTTCAGGCTGACAATCTGCTGAATATAAAATAATGCTATAACTTCATGCTTTTATTCTTCACTCCTTAATGCCTTTTTTTAGACCAACTGAATGTGTTTATGTTAGATTAGTTGAAGTGTTTAGTGTAGTTATTAAAGCATTATTCATATCACACTTGAAGTTGTTCATTATTCACTCAAAACTGGTGTCCCTAATCATGCCAATCTACCTACATGCTCTGTGTAGTTTTATATTTTAAGCAGGTTATTTCATGACACAGATATCACTATCTTTGAACAAATAAACACTTGACTCAAAGACGTTGCGTAAAAGCATATAGCCTATGTAAATAGTATAATTAATGATAACTAATTATGATTAACTATTGATATTTCCATATTTATATTTAGAAAAAAAGGCTTACAGTGGCTTCTCCTGCAAAAGCAAACTCCTTATTGTTTTGGGATATTTGCAGCCAGTTTATCAGGAAGTGGCTAATTTGTTGTCTTTGACTCTGTGGATGGAAACGGTGGTTTATTTGTCAAATGTTTTATAAGATATTCCAGGTTTGCACATACACTTAGGGTGGTTTCACACCTACACTTTTGTTTCGGAACGTATCTCGTTTGCCCAGTTAGCGCGGTTTGTTTGGCATATGTGAACAGGGCAATCGCGCTCTGTTCCGCGCCAAAGTAATCGCTCCGAGATCGCTTGAATGAGGTGGTCTCGGCTCGATTGAAACGAACCCTGGAGCGGTTCGATTGCAGTGAGAAAGCGATCTGATCCGAGCGCGATTATATCACAGTGTTTTATGGATATGTAACAGGCTTACGGCTATATGAATAGAGAATTATGAGTAGGGCGGGAAGTTTCGCGAGTCTCCGGATGCCCGCAAACGAGTGATGATCTCCTGGTAATCTTGCGTCTCCCTCCCGGTCCTCAAATAGGCATCGTCGCGCACCCTTCTCACCCCTCCCCACCGCATCTCTCCTCAGACACGTCGTGCGCGCACCCTGTCAATCACCACCAAACCACCACCTCTCCTGACAGCTGAGCGGGACCTCTCCTGACACACTGACCAATGTGAGGAGAGTTTACTCGCACGTGACTTGTTTTAGCTCTTTTGGTCCGAATAGAAACTTTGCCGTGTGAAAGCGAACCGCTCAAAGAGCAAAGAGCAACAATGTAACAATTGTAATCTCTGTTTCGGAACAACTGAATCGATTCACAGGTGTGAAAGCACCCTTAATGTGCATATTTAGATGGTAACATAGCTATTGTCCATTTTAAAAGAGCTTATAATTCAGTGATGAGTTCTGTAAGGTGAATGAGTAACCGTTCTTGGTGCAGGTCTCTGGGATCTTGGACGGAGTGCATAAAGTGTGTATTAAAGCTGGCCACAGGCGTCTGGGTTGAGGAATTGTCCTGTCAACAAGATGTTGACCACAGAAAGCTGAAGTTCTGCTTGTTTATCTGTTATTTACCTCATTATGATTCTCTCAGCATACTCTCTCCACCAACGTCCTCTCCAGCAACGTCCTCTCCAGCAACGTCCTCTCCAGCAACGTCTTCCTGTTGGAAAAATTCACAAACTGTTGTTTGTTTATTAAACTCTTTATTGTTTGAAACAAGCCAAGGGTGAGTAAATTATATCAGAATTTTCATCTCTGGGTGAACTACACCTTTAAATACCAATTAGCAGAGATGGGGGACTCGAGTCACATGACTTGACTCGAGTCAGACTTAAGTCACAAAATTTAGGACTTGAGACTTGCTTGACAAATACCCAAAAAGGCTCAACTTGACTTGGACTTGACTGTCATGACTTGAGACTTGACTTAAACTTGAGTGAAATGACTCGAAATAACTTGATTGTTTTTGTTAAATACATAATCGTTTGTTATATATTATGCTTTATGCATTTAAAAACAAAACAAAACCGAAAGTTCTAAGTCACGCATGCGCAATAATAACAGCTCATCTGTTTTCAGACCGGTCTGAACGATAGGTTCTCTGTACTGTTCCGAATAAAGCACTGCAAATGATTCCTGACTCAAGTTAATGGTTTTATTAAGTAAGTGGATAACCTGGGATATTTTTTTTTTTCATGTCAGAGGGAGTGCCAGGCAAGTTAAAAGTAAGTAACTTTAATTAATTTGTGATTAGTGTTTATTGGAAATGCAAACCATTTAAAAAGAATCAGTTGGATTTGCTGAACTGGATCAATCGGTTTATTACGAATAACCACTTCAAACGATTCATTAGAACGATTCAGTTGCCATTCAGCCATCAGATACTGCAGTGACATAAGGCCCTCCGTCTTGGCTAATCAAAGTTTATACTATTTGTCAGTGCTTCCCTCACATAGACTTTTCTTGGGCTTACTATGTTGTGTACGCCTAATACACACCTGCCAACAACTCCTGTTTTTCCCGGGAGACTCCTGTATTTCAGACCCATTTCCCGCCCATCTCCCGTATTGTTCTGTCTCCCGGAAAACTCCCTGAACCCCCCAATATTATAGATATTGTAAGTTTTTTATTAATTTTATTAATTTGATGATGTCATCAGGCTAATACATAGGCTATTTTATATACATATCTAAAATACTTTAAAGTTTTAAAGCATTAAAGTTTGCTTTGAACTTGAAAGAAAGAGAGAAGCAGATTTGACCTGTCAGCGGTGCACATGGCTTCTAAATAGCATAAAGGTAACAGAAAGTGGATGTCTTTTCTCTTTAACATTTTTTTTTACTTTAACCCATTGGAAACAAAGTGTATAACAGTGTCATAATAAATTTAAATATTGTTAAAAATAAAATTATGTTTTGTTTGTCGCATATAGTTAACTATTATATATATGCTTGACATTACTTGAAATAAGCAGTGACTTGACTTGAGTCCGACAAAAATTGACTTGACTTGCTTGAGACTTGCACATGTGTGACTTACTCCCATCTCTGCCAATTAGTTTATTTTGATCAGAGCATTCCACATCCTGTTAAATAAGCTGTGTGTAATTCCAACACAATCTCACTGCAATTCGTAACTGTTTGATTTAGTGGCTAATTTGTAAGAATTGGTACGATCTAATTTGTACAATTTAGTACGATTTACTCATCACCCAATGATGGTTGGGTTTAGAGCCGGGGTTGGGTGATCTGCCTTCTTTTTAAAATCATACATTTTGGTATGACTGAACTTGTACAAATTTGAATGAATTAGCCGCTAAAATGCCAAAACGTAAAATACTTACGTTACGTCGTGAGATCAGGCTGGTAAGTCTTACATTCTGTGCTGCTGCTTCCTTTTTTCTGTGGCAAAGATAGTAAATCACACCGCCAACAACAGCAGCAGCAGCAGCAGCGACAACAAGCACAACTATTCCTGCTATTGCACCTTCAGAAAGATGTGAAGGTGGAGGAGCTGAAAAGAAACAGTGATTATTATCAGAGAGTGAAGGATCTAAAATTCAGTATTTAACAACAGCTCTGATCCACATTCACACGTCTCTGCTTTGGTCATCAGGGGGCAGTTTCAATAAGGTGGTTCAACCAAACTCTGAGTTTAAACTAGAGAGCTGCACTCATGCAGGAGTACCGTGGGACCCACAGGACCCAAGCACAAAGTGAGGCGCGTAACAAGATTTGCTGGATGAATGCGGGAGGTAAGCTCCTCATCTAGTGTGGGTTGTGGGACAAAACAATCAGTCATGTGAATCCCACAAAATTTAAATATCTTTAAAGTAATTTACTAAAAACAAATACTCTGTTGTTTACTGTATGTGCAGCACAAAAGCGACAAGAATAATTAAAATAAAATAAAAACTATTTACAGGCAAAAGGTCAGAAGCTAATCCTCGTGTGGTTCAGCTAGCCATCAGAGAGATTTCAGTATTTAAGGTCGCATACTCGAGCAGAGATGCATTCATCTGAAGCCCTCATCAGTGATTGAGATGCTACTGCTGCATGAACACATTAAGAAGGCCTGCTTTTTTTTTTTAGTTAATTCCGTTTATTTTTATTTATTTAGCTAAATAGTAAAACTTGGCTTTTATTTTTGGGCTGCACAATACATACGTTTCAGCATCGACATTGCAATAGTCACATCACATCACATCACCTGCAATGTGGATTTGTGATTATTGTTGGTCACCATTTACATCACATTTGATTATTCAATATTAGGGGAAGGACAAAACAGCGATATGCATGAGGTGGCACTTCTCGTAACGGCGAATCGAACATATATCAATATTGCAATTTGAAGAAATATATGAGTTGTTAATAAAATATTTTATAACTGTTGAGAAGTTTTGTCGTCCTAAACTGTAAACTCAAAGTAGTGTCACACCCCTGTTCAGTTGATGGTTTACTCCAATCTCTGCCCACTCAATCTTAGGCCAATCAGGACTGCCTCAAAGGCTTTATTAACGGCACGTGTCCACAATTTGCTCTTTCGGCTGCACATGGCTGAACTGTGCAGAGGACTGAATCTGATTTTTTTTGTTGTTTTCCTGTGTGCGTATCTGACCAGAAACACAAACACACACACAAAGAAAAGACACACATTTCCTCCTGAGCACAATTCTTGTTGATGGTTAATAAATGAAACTAAATGGAGTGACTAGGCTGATCCTCTGTTTTTACCGAGAACACCACTGGCTTCAAGCTAGCTACCTAAGCATTCCCCCAAAATCCTTTTTAAAAACTTTGATTTATTTTTCCCTCTTCGTTTACAAATTAAGATATATTGTAGATCATTTACTTGTGATATATCGCTGATATCGTTATTTATAATTATCAGGGGCAAAATATCATGATAATATCGTATCGTATTACTGTACCTGAATATCTGACTACTTATTTCACTTCTCTTTGCTCTATCTTATTTTTAATATTTGCATTTTCTGTGATTCACTCCTCCACTATAAGATTATTTTAATGAAAGTTAATGATTTTATTCCAAACGAGCTATACAAGTCCGAAATTGTATTCATATTGCAATAAAAATCGCAGCAAAATAAAATCAATCGTAACATCAGATTTTTTTTTTATATCATGCAGCCCTACTAAATTTATTTATTTAGAAACAAGGATAGTTGTGTTCAATGATTGCACAAGGCAAAAAGATACTGCACACTCTAAAGCAGCATGAGGTCAAATGCAGCTTCACAGTACAGTGAAAACAACAACAACTACAAAGTTTTTGAAAGTCAAAGTTTTACACTCTACAATTTAACAATATTTAGGTTAAAGTTTAATTAACAGTTTTAATATCCCCCTCTGGGAAAATGGGAAGAAAAAGGAAAAAAAAATACTCACAAGTGATAGTAAGGCTGAATGTCTTCTCTCTGGTGATGCTGAAGCGTTCATCGCTTCTGATGAAAATCTCTAATGTATAATTTCCAGAGTCTGTGCTTATGGTGTTCGTGATGGTCAGATATCCAGTTTCACTGTCCAGTTTCAGTCGGTCTGTGAATCTCTCTTTACACCGAACATTAGTGCAGATCTGACTCTGATTTACAGTGATCTCAGCAATGAGAATGTCATTAAAAAAATACCTCATAACATTTATGTCTCTTCTCATGTAAGGATTAAAAGTGACAGATTCTCCCTGGTTTCCCTTTATTTGATAACGATGAGCAGCAGGATCATCTAGAAATCAAACCAACAGATTATGAGATGACTTTTGGTAAAAAATAATGAAAAACTCTAAGTATGCATGTATGTGTATATACAGTGGTGTGAAAAATGTTTTACCTTAATGTTTTAGATCATCAAACTACTTTAAATAATAGAAAAGTAAACACTTAAATTATTTAATTTAAATTATATTAATAGAAAATAACATCCAAAAAGAGTGTCACCTGTTAAAACACATAACCTTACAGCCACACCTAGGCCAGATTACCGCCACACCTGCTCGCAATCAAGAAATCACTTAATAGGACCTGCATGACAAAAGTGAAGTAGACCAAAAGATCCTCAAAAGCTAGACATCACTCAGAGATCCTAAAACAATTCAAAAGAAAATTATTGACCAGTCTGGAAAACGATATAAAGAAAATTCTAAAGCTTTGGGACTGCAACAAACTACAGTGACTACATGGACACCAATAATTCGATTTGAATGTGATTATAACAATACTCTGATTAAGAGTTAACCATGTAAACAGTGATTTTTGATTTATTGAATCCGATTAAGGTCATATTTAAACTAAAGAGACATCGAATTAATACATGTGGAGTATGCTGATTTTAGTCGCATTATTGAAGTGCAGTACAGACATGTAAACACCTTAATCAAACTATTACCGTCATTATAGGACTTTGACACGTTTTGCGACAGGATATTCCACACACAAACACACCCATGGCTGTTTGACACTCTCTGCACCTACAGAGTCAGTGCAGACCACAGACACCTGCATTGTGAAATGCAGAGTTTTTTTTTTTTCCTTCCATTCAGCATGTGTTATGAACTTCCATTAAAACAACAGTCTTCCAGCAGCTCAGTTGCATCAAATATCTCGTTTGTCACAGGGGGCATGCGTGAAATGTTCCTGAATGAAGGTGAAAGTGCCAAACTGCAGTTAAAGTCATCAAATTAAAAATGAAACACCCAAAACTACTCAAAACTCCAGATGAAATGCGGATAGCGCAGTGCGCAATGACGTTAATCGAATTATGTGCTGTAGCATGTAAAACAGGATCATAAAAGGAACATTAAAAAAACTCATGTAAACGCCTTAATCTTATTATTGTCTTAATTAGATTAAGGCAAACAATTCAATTACTGATGTCCATGTAAACGTAGTCAGTGAGAGTCATCACATACAAATAGCAAAAGAAATGGAGCAGTGGAGAACCATCCCAGGAGTGAGGGTTACCATAATTACCCCAAGAGTGCAGCAACAAATCATCCAAGATGTCACAAATGACCCATAATAACAGCCAAAGAACTGCAGGCCTCACTTAAGGTGAGTGTTCATGACTCCACCATAACGCCCCATTCACACGGGGATTCAGCGTCAACGCTTGACTGAAGGCGTGTCTGAAGTTGGGGCTGAAACGATCGTCATAGAAGCGTCAGCCAATGAAATGTCTAGCTGATGTATTTGCATACAGCGATCTGATTGGCTGACGCTTCCGTCGGCGCTTGAAAAGTTGAGCTGGTCCCAACTTCTCTAGCGAGCAATGCCTCTGAAGCGGCGCCGACGGATCCACAATGCAGTTCGGCAACGCCTGATGTCACCTATTCAAAGTGAATGGGTGGCGTTGACGCTGACGCCCCGTGTGAATGGGGCGTAAGAAAGAGACTGAGCAAACATGGTTCCAAGATCTAAAATGAAAACCACTGCGGAGCAGAAATAACAAAGGCTTGTCTTTTGCCAGAAAACATTTTATGGATCCCCAAGACTTTTGGAAAATTGCTGTGTGAACTGACAAGACAAAAGGTTAACTGTATTGGAGGGTGTGTGTCCTATTATGAGTGGGGTATATACCATTGTTACGACTGAAGTTTATTTATTTGTTTATTATTGCGGATTGTACTCTTTTACTTTTATCCCGCCTCCTTGTTGTTTTTCTGTTGTTTCATAGGCTCCCATACCAGCGTGATTCCCTGATCTGATTGGCTGCTGGTCGCAAAAGCACGTATAAAAAGGAGCTTCCGGCAGGGTTTGAGGAGCTCATGTCTGCTGCATACGGTGTTTGGAGTGAAGCTCCTGGGTTTTCCTCACCCCTTCGGCCGACGACCAACAACAACCAACTTTGTATTGATGACCATCATATGTTTAAATATTTTTTTAAAGTTTGAGAGTTTGAGCGTGTAGGGGTGACCTGCCTATTTATTTGATTACTTTTGACTTTGTTTATGTTAGGGAGTAAGGTAAGATTTTTGTATGTTTCTTTAAATAGTAATAGGAAATTTAGTGGATTTATTCTATAGATTCTTTTGTTTGTTATTTTGGCCTCTGGTCACCCTGATGAAATGCTTATTTATATTAACCCCATTTTTTCTATAATAAATATCTTCATATCTTCGACCGAAGGGAATCTTTTGCTTTAAGTTTAGTTTGGGAAATCCACCACCCCAACACATGTTTTTTCTTCGTTTATTATGCCCTTTTTGTTTCCCCTAGACTTGGGGCGTAATAACCATGAGTAAGATGTGGTGGTGGTAGTGTGATGGTTTGGGGCTGTTTTGCTGCTTTAGGATGAATTATGCTGTGTACATAATCTCCTGAAGGAGAATATCTGGCCATCTGTTAGTGACTTTAAGCTAAAGCGAACTTGCAGGACAAGTCCACTTCTGAATGGCTGAAGAAAAATAAAAGACTTGAGAGTGGCCTTGTCAAAGTCCTGAACTAAATCTAATTGAGATGCTGTGGCATGACCTTTAAAAGGAGATTTATGCTCAAATCTTCTTATGTGGCTGAGTTATAACAATTCTGCAAAAATGTGCAGTCCAGAATTCCTCCACAGTGCTTTAACAGACTTATTTAAAATTAATCAAAACGCTTGATTGCAGTTGTTGCTGCTGTGGCCCAACTAGTTATTAGGTTTAGAGGGTAAACAGTTTATAATACAGGTCTATGCAGTTTTATTTTGTTATCCCTTAAGGGCCATAAAACCTCCCTGTCAGTTCAAGTCTACCTCAGAATTTTTTTTCAAAAAAATGCTTCATGATTTGTATTATTTTATTATTTTTCTCTTTTTCTTTTCATCATACAATTATTTGTATCGGTCATTTAAGGGTCATATATTAACTGAACTTCTACTGTTGAGTGTGAGATGCTGTGCATACCAATGAAGCATTTTTGTAGAAGTATATAAATGCTGGTCCAAAATTAAATTCAGCTCTGCAGAAACTTCCTGTCTGAAGAAAGGTGTTAAAACTGAAAACGGAAAGTCTTTTGCTTTTATTGCTGTGCAGAAAGTTTGTCGAAAAAGAGGACTTATGTCTGGGCTGCGGTCAATGGAGACCTGGACAATAACTGACAAATGACGAATTTCACTAAACTCCACCTGTTAAAATCAGCTACATAATACTATGTTTAAGTTGAAGTCAGGAAATAAAAATTGTTGCGCACCTCCTGAATGTAACTTTTGCATTGCATTGAGGATAACCGAATTCTGTGAATCGAAATATTCATTTGTATCCAATAAATTGTTACGATTTTTGACATTGAAGAAAAACCTCTCCTGACATTTTTTATTGAACATGCATGGAATTGATTTAATATTCCAACAGCGTGGAACGCTGTGAGTAGGGGGAGGAGTGGGCATGGCCAGCAGAGTAGGGGAAAAAGAGGGGAGCCAACAACTGTTGTCAGTTGGCTCACAAAATAAGACACAAACCATGAGACGACGAATGATTTTATAATTTACAAAGTTAAAATGAAAAAAATAAACAGTAATTTATTGTCCAGCTACATATGTTGTTTGTAATTTCATATACATATAACCACAACTTCATTTATTCATTCATTCATTCATTCATTTTCTTTTCAGCTTAGTCCCTTTATTAATCAAAACTTCATTAATTAATCAACTTATCCAGTACACGTTTTACGCAGTGGATGCCCTTCCAGCTGCAACCCATCACTGGGAAACACATAGACAGTCTTGCACACAATCACATACACTATGGTCAGTTTAGCTAATTCAATTAACCTGTTAACCTTGACTTTGGGGGTAACCGGAGCACCCGGGGGTGCTAGCCACTGTCCCACCAGGCTGCCCTAACCACAATTTGTTACATCATTATAAAGATAACCACTATAAATGAGGAGGACTTCTCTCCCCCTGAATCCCCGCGTCTGAATGAAGACAGTGGATAGCAGTGCTGCAGACCTCTTGCCCCGTCTTTTCCAACCATTAACCCAGCTGATAATCTGGAGAATTTTAAACATGGGCGAACACAGCAGCACAGATATAGGCAATGTGTCTGAATGGTAACAAACTCAACTGATAAAAGACAAAGTCCACCATTCTCATATTCTCATACAGCTCTCTCGACAAAAATGCTTGCTCCAAACAAACAGCTTTGCTATATCACCCCAGACAGCATTGCATGGAAAAACATGCAACAAACCCCGTGGATGATGGAAACAAACACATAACGTTACAACCCTTCATGAACGGCTACATACGTCACTGATTTTGATCCCGCCCTTAAATTTTTTTTTAAATCGGAAGATGAAATTAGCTGACAAAAGCTCAAAATGATCCAGTTTTCCCCACAATTAAAGCTAACATGTGCTTTAATTGTAGAAAAATGTAAATCAAACTTATGAAATTTGAGGGCTCATGGAATCAACTAAAAGGTGAGGAATGGACCATCTCTGACAGCTTGTGACATCATCTGACACATTATCTGAGTACGTTTACATGGACACCAATACTCTGATTTTAATATGATTAAGACACTACTCTGATCACGAGACTACCACGTAAACATTCATTCATTCATTCATTTTCTTGTCGGCTTAGTCCCTTTACTAATCCGGGGTCGCCACAGCGGAATGAATTGCCAACTTATCCAGCAAGTTTTTACGCAGCGGATGCCCTTCCAGCCACAACCCATCTCTGGGAAACATCCACACACACACTCATACACTACGGACAATTTACCTACCCAATTCACCTGTACCACGTCTTTGGACTGTGGGGGAAACCGGAGCACCCGGAGGAAACCCACGTGAAGGCAGGGAGAACATGCAAACTCCACACAGAAACGCCAACTGAGCCGAGGTTCGAACCAGCGACCTTCTTGCTGTGAGGCGACAGCACTGCCTACTGTGCCACTGCCTCGCCACACCACGTAAACAGTGAATTTTTAATATCTTAAAGGACCACAGACACAAACAGCGGAGGAAACATTTATAGGCTGGTGGCGCAATGACGTTGATGGATCTATGTGCTATAACATGTAACAGGGAATCATGAATGGAACATTCAAAAAGCAGCTCATGTAAACACCTGAATCATATTATTGTCTTATTCAGATTAAAGCAAATCATTAGATCACTGATGTCCATGCAAAAGTAGTCACAAGCCCCAAACCCAGAAAAAAGGTGTTCCCTGATTTTGAAGACAGCCTTTCCACAGGTCAGTAGTAAGCTAATCTAATGTTAATAGCATAATGCAAACCTTGAACAACAAACAAATGATGAAAAGAAATATATTAATGCAATTAAAAAAATATGAATTTATGTTTACTTTAAACTTACAATAAATATACATTTATATGGTTCAATTATAATGATTAATATATATATATATAATTTTTTTTTTTTTTGTCAATTAATTTTGTGGCTAAAAGGTATCGGTTCAGGCACTGTTTTGGCACTGGTACAATTTTAAAAGTATCGATTTAGCACCGGTATCGAAAAAAACCCAAACTATACCCAACTCTAGTGATAATATCTTTAAATGTGGAGGGGGGGGGGGGGGGGGGGCTCACGATATTTTGCAGGGGAAAAAGGGGGTCTCAGGCAAAAAAAAAAAAAGGTTGGGAACCACTGCTGTATAGGAATCAAAATACACACTATTAATAATTGAGATTCTAAGGGTTTCTAAATAGGACCATTTGTTTTTCCTTGGTGGTTTGGTTTACATTTAAATGATACTAAAATGACACATTTTTATTATTATTGAATGAAGTGGTTCCATTAATGTAACCTTAAATTAAGAGTGCAGATAAAGAAAATGAAAGGTTCTTTAAACATTCATGAATTACTCACCCTGGACTGTAACATTAAAGATCTTTCCACTATTGCCGTTGACCACTAGTTGATATTCTCCAGAGTCTGTGGTGTTGATGTTTATGATGATCAGAGATCCAGTCTTAAGGTCCAGCTTCAGTCTGCCTCTGAATCTCTCAGTGCCTTCATTACACTGAACATCTGTACACATATCACTGACATCTCCATTGAGTTGAGCGATGCGAGTCTTATTAAAATACCATTTAACATCTTCATGCTGTTGTTTCATAACACCAGTGTGTAGAGTGACTGATTCTCCCTCCGTCACAGACAGCGACAGGGACACAACAACTGCATGAACACTGGTCACATCTGAAGAAGATAAAGTCAACATAAGTAAAAAAAAAAAAAAAAAATATATATATATATCCAGTATATCCTACAGATTTAGAGTAAAATGAATATTATATATAATTTTTTATATGATTTATAGCTCACATTTCTGTGACAAAAATAATAATTTACACAACTGTGGTAAAGTAGGCTTCATTCACACATTCAGACATTCTTTGCAAATGCTAAATGGTGAAATCATATTAGCAGCCAATGAATATCAACATACAACATTGCTTACAGTCAAATAAATAGTGCTAACGTTGTTTTGAAGTCAAGTTAATTTTAAGTGAAGATCACAAGAAATAAGGATGTTTTCCCCAAGCGGCAACCTCCAGCTCTCCCTCGTGAAGCTACAGTAATACAAAAGTAAAAGAAACTGTAAATCATCGAAATTACGCTAGTCCTGACTCTATAATAGAGCAGATGTCAATTGAGCCCACAGTTAAAATGAAAAACTTTACCACAGAAAAAAGGTGTTTATAGCCTGGTACAAAGAACGATTTTGGTTCATACAGCTAACATTACCCTTCATGACAACTGTGAGGGGTGAATTTTTTATAACTCATTTGTTTCCTTTATATTAGGTTTTATCAAGTCTGCATAATTAAGGGTGTGGCCACTTAAGTGACAGCTAGGTCTCGGTGGTCGCCGTCATGTCACCTCAGCTGATTCCGGCTGATTAGCTGCTGAACTCTGCATATTCATCGTATTTTTGTGTTGTTTTATGTGGCTTTACACAATCAATTGCTTTTGTTATTATTTCCTACAATTATCAGATGATATGGCATACTGTGTGCACTTTATTGTGCTTAAAAACCATTCACGTGGCCTCCATTTCCCAGGTGAGTGAAGTTATATACTTATATACCATCTCTATAAATGCATTGGTCTTAGGTTCTTGCTGTAATACACTTTAAAATTTGACAGATTCATGAGCTGTAGGCTCTAGAACATTCATCTAAAACATTGTCATTTATGCCTGGATTTCATAAATAGCCTTGCATTTACCAACAAAGATTATATTTGAAGTATTTGAGAGTAATTTGCATTTCCTCCTGCAGAAGAACAATGTTTAGTGGCTCAGTTTATTACAACAGTGTAAACACTTTATTGATATAGTATACAATAGAGGTGTGAACCTATACTGGTCTCACGGTTCGGTTACGATTATCATGCCTTCGATTTGGTTCAATTCGACATATCGGTGTATTGACGATGCTTTCCATACAGTGTTATATTTTAGGGGAGAGGCTATAACAAGCTGTCTGTATAAACACAGACACACAGCACCACACTGTCTCTTATTCAAACACATACACAAACATAGACAGCACCAAACAAACAAACACAAACACACACACTTAAGCCCTCGCAACAGGGAGAGCTCGCGCAGAGCAGAGCAGAAAAACGGAAAAAAAAAAAAAAAAAAAAAAAAGACGAAAAAAAGAAGCACTTTTCCAACGGTCCCTTACTGAGAGCTCCTCTCAGCGCGAGCTCTCCCGGCTAAACACATATTGCGAGGGCTTAAACGGAGCAGTGCTCGTAATGTCGAGCGAAAAGAAAGACAGCTGTGAAACATAACCAGCTTTGTCTTTTTGTAGGAAACACACTTAAGATCTTTTTAGGGTAAGAGGTTTTTGAGTTATTGCCGGCTATAACTGAATGTGTCAGGATTATCGAAAACAAAACCAACTGAACCACGCTCATTTCTGGCTTCCCTCTGAATATACAGCGACCTTAGCATTTGCCTATGGTGCCTATGCCATGGGCTGGCCCTGAGTTGGCTGAGTGTTGTAAATACTTGCGCTCACCTCCCTCGCGACAGAGCGCATAGGAGATAAATGACGTCAGTACATAATAACCGGTCAAAATTATTACTGAACTGATACCGTATTGTCCGCGTCTGCATCGCGGTGCACCGAAAAGACAATTAATTTTGACACCCCTAGTATACAACCAAGCAGATATGGTCAGAACACAAAGGAGTCGCAGGTAATAAAGTATAGCGTTTCTCCAATAGGAAAGCCTGTCTAAGCAAAATGCTAGCATGCGTCTGTAGCTCTGCTCACACTTCACTTTAAATGGCTACCCTCAGTTGGAGCAATGACACGCAAACAAAATGGCGCCGGTTGGCCACACTAACTTGTAGCTACTTTTGTGCTTTTCAGAAACCTATAGGTAGGGCCAGATGGAATCTGCGGACATTTTTGGCTATTTCTGCATGGAATTGTGTTATAAATCTGCAAATTTATGTGGAATTATTTTCAGAGTATCATAACTAAAATCTTAATATATGGAATACAAAGTAATAACTTTTTAACTTTTATGTAATGTTTAAAATGCAAATCCAATTAAATCCACTTTATTTTAGTAAACAAAGCAAGTCTCTCATATAATAGATCTACTAAAAGACAGAAAATATTACTTTACAAATTGCACTGTAAATAAATTAAATGAATATTTTCATATTAGTCGATAATATTACTGTAATTATTTTAAAAACTGAATAAATATAAATGTACACACATTTACAAAAGTAAATAAACAGAATCAATGATGGGCTTAAAATCTGCGAAATATTGCGCGTGCAGATTCCATGTGGACCTACCAATGGTTGACGTCATGGATACTACGTCCATATCTTTTAGTCTGTTTTTTCCCCCCCTAATGAGACATAACAACTGCTATTACACAAATAAAAAAGCAGCATATTTGCTTGCACTGAACATTCATAAAATAATTGTAAAGGTATGAAGTGCAAAACATGAGCACCCATCTTGTGTTTTGCGCAGGGTTGCCACTCGTCTCTTAAAATAAGGAATCGTCCCGTATTTGAGAATGAAATTGCACATCCTGTTTTGAATCAATACGGGATGGGTTTTGTACCGTATTTTTAAAATAATTTTTAAAAGTAGCTTTTCATGCAAATCATCCCACACGCATTTTATGAAGATGCATCATTTCGTACTTTTGATTGACTAATACTTGATGTCATCGTTAGTTTGATTGGTCTTTGTCCAGTGAGGAGGGCGGGTCTTTTAAGCAGAGTCTGTCAAGTCTTGACAGAGAGTGATGGCAAATGCTTCTCCAGGTGACCCCGCGTCTTAAAGTTTCAGAGATTAAACGCAAGCGACTGAAAAACTACTGCAGAAAGTGGGAGGAAACAACTGGCTGCAGAGTGTTAGAAATTGTTATTAAGCCAACTGCACGAATTATCGGAGAGCGTTATCTGTGGCTCATGGTGGTCTGTGGGACAACACGCCCCTGGAGAACAGCATTCCTGCAATGACAGAGCTTGTAAAAATCAAAGCAGTCAGACAGTTCTCAGACCCCAAGTCTCTCCCGAAGCAGACATGGTAATAACAGTGTAATAATCAACAATATTTAGGTTAATTGCTTAATTATGTTACAAAATGTGACCCAATCTGTGAAAATCTAGCTGGAGTGATTTTTTTTTGTACTTCACTGTTTTGTACATGAAATAAAGAACAGTCTGAAAATATAATAATATATGTATTTAATATTAACTGAGTAAAACAATGTCAACAACTGAAATCACAGTGAAATGAATGGTGAAATGAATGGCTACAGTCAAACTTTACCTCAGAATTAGATTTGGCCTGGTTAAGGTTAAGTCAGGCACATAAAAATAATAATTTAATACTTTTATTTAATACATTAATAAACAACATAATGCCCATGTAAAGAAAATAAACTAGTAAATTGCAACTTTCCATATTTTAAAATTAGAAATTGGCTATATGAAAACTTTACTACACTGTAAAAATCCTGGTTGCCTCAATTGTTTAAGCTGAATCAAATTAATCATAAGTTCATTGAACTTATATTATGTTAAACTGACTTAAAACAGCTTGCATAACTTATACAATTCAGATAGAACATGATTAACTTCAGGGCTAATGTTTGTATCTAGCTTATGTATGTGCTGTTTCCATGTTTGGATAGTTGTTACTGCCAATGTCAAATATTTTAGCCAAAATCTGTTATCAAATCCACCCTTTAAAATTAGGTTCATTAGTATTTTCTTCTCTCCTCTAGGTTACAGCAGCTGAGTTAACGCAAGTGTCTATTAGGGTGCTTTCACACCTGTGAATCGATTCAGTTGTTCCGAAACAGAGCGGTTCGCTTTCACACTGCAAAGTTTCTAATCGGTCCAAAAGAGCTAAAACAAGTCACGTGCGGGGAAACTCTCCTTACATTGGTCAGAGTGTCAGGGTTTATTTTGCAGCGTCCCGCTCAGCTGTCAGGAGAGGTGGTGGTTTGATGGTGATTGACAGGGTGCGCGCGTGACGTGTCTGAGGAGAGATGCGGTGGGGAGGGGTGAGAAGGGTGCGCGACGATGCCTATTTGAGGACTGGGAGAGAGACGCGAGATTACCGGGAGATCATCACTCGTTTGCGGGCATCCGGAGACTCGCGAAACTTCCCGCCATACTCATAATTCTCTCTTCATATAGCCGTAAGCCTATTACATATCCATAAAACACTGTGATATAATCGCGCTCGGATCGGATCGCTTTCTCACTGCAATCGAACCGCTCCAGGGTTCGTTTCAATCGAGCCGAGACCACCTCATTCAAGCGATCTCGGAGCGATTACTTTGGCGCGGAACAGAGCGCGATTGCCCTGTTCATATATGCCAATCGAACCGCGCTAACTGGGCAAACGAGACACGTTCCGAAACAAAAGTGAAGGTGTGAAAGCACCCTCAAACATAACATCAGCTATATCAGTGCTGCAGAGTTGTAAAACAGAAAGACCGACCGCATCTGTTTTCACAGATTTCAATAAAGACAGTTTATTTTAATGTCCAAGTGTTCATACTTTCCTGAAAACAAATTTTAAGTTGCAATTTACCACCACTGGCATGCTATTGGGCCTGTGATCACTGTGGTCTAGGCCCCCCAAGGAATATGGCACCCGCTGCAGGATGCGTCCCTTATTTTTTGGTATCAAACTCTATATGTATATATAACAATACCCTAGTTTTGCGGTACACAAACACAAAGCTTAAATATGAAAACTACATGAAAATCACATAACTTTCAGATAATAACCTTAGACTGTAAATATATATGGACGTAGTATCAGTGAGGTCACCCATAGGTTTCTGAACACTGCAAAAGAAGTCACGAGTAAAAAAAAAAAAAAGAAAGAAAAAGAAAAAAAGCCACAAGTAAAAAAAAAAAAAAAAAAAAAAGAAGCTACAAGTAGGCGCGGCCAACCGTCAACATTTTGTTTGCATGTGATCACACCCATGGCAGGATACCAAACAAGGGCAAAGAGGCAGAGAGTGAGCGGAGCCAAAGACACCTGCTGGCATTTTGCTTGGACCTGGCTTAGACACACTTTACTTTGGGAGAAACGCTTAATACTATATCACCTGTGACTCGTTTGTGTTCTGACCGCATGTGCTTGGCTGTACACGATATCAATAAAGTGTTTAGTCTTTTAAAAACATTTCTGTAATACACAGAGCCACTAAACATTGTTCTTATGAGGATTTTCTGCAGGAGGAAATTGCTAATTATTTCCAAAAACTTCAGATATAGTCTGTGTTAGTTAATATAAGACTATTGATGAAATCCAGCATAACACTGTATGACAACGCTTCAGATGACTGTACTAGAGCCTACAGCTAATCAATCTGACAAATTCTGGAGTGCATTACAGCTCTAAAGAAAAGTATAAATGATCTTAAATAAAACAAATACATTTACAGAGATGGTATACAAGTATATAACTTCACTCACCTTAAAAATGGAGGCCATGTGAATGGTTTGTGAGCACAAAATAGTGCACACAGCATCCCATATATTCTGATAATTGTAAGAAATAAGTCTAAAAAGCAATTGACTGTGTAAAGCCAAATAAAACAACCCAAAAATATGATGAATATGCAGAGTTCAGTGGCTAATCTGCTAAGTCAGCTGAGGTGAAGTGATGGTGACCAGCAAAACCTAACTGTCACTCAAGTGGCCACGCCCTTAATTATGCAAACTTAATATAACTTAATATAAAGGAAACGGATGAGTGAAAAATTCACCCCCCTCACAGTTGTCATGAAGGGTAATATTAGCTGTATGATCCAAAATTGTTCTTTGTACCAGGCTATAAACACCCTTTTTTCTGCTGTAAAGTTGGCCATTCTAACTGTGGGCTCAATTGAAATTTGCTCCATATGGAGTCAGGACTAGTGGAATTTCGATGAATTGCAGTTTCAGTTACTTCCCCATAGTCACGAGTGAGAGCGAGAGGTTGCTACTTGATAATAACACATCACTATGTAAAAGTTACTCTTATTCAGGAAATATTTCTTTGTTACAGCCTAAAGATACACTATGTGGGAAAATTTGTTTTACTTCACAACAAAATAAAGCCATACGTTCCTTATTTCAGCCACTTATTAGTAAACCCTACATAATTTCATATTACTCTGGGTTCATCAAGGATTTAAATTGGAAAAAGGTATGGTCATTGCCTAACAAATTCTTTATTACAAGCAAATTTAAAGAGGTCTCATTTAAAATTCTGCATACATTTTACCCTGTCAAACATTTTCTTTCCAAGTTTAGACAGGATATAGATCAAAACTGTTCTTTTTGTTTGTCACAGCCAGAAACTGTACCTCATATCTTTTGGAATTGCCAGTTCACAAAGAAAATATGGTACGAGATGACCAATTTCATAAATGAAAAATTATTGCCGAATTTCTGTTTAGAATACCAACATGTTATTTTTGGGTTTTTGATCTACAACAAAAATATAAAGAAGGAAGCTTATGTCATTAATATGTGATTATTTTTTAAAAATAAAAACCATTTTATCCTGCTATACTAATTGAATTAAAAAACTATACAAACATCATAAAGCAAAGCACTAATAAAAAAGCCATTAAAACCGCTTTTTTACTTGAAACCTGCAAGATCTTGTAATTTCACAAGGCCCTTTTCTGTTAGTATGTATATATACACATTGTCTTGTACATGTTTTGTTTTGTATACCCCTGACATTTTATTTTTTCTATTATTATTTTATTTGTGTGTGTGTATTTTTTTTCTTTTCCTCCATTTCTTTTTGTAATAAAAAAAAAAACTTGATAATAACACAAGCTCTAATTCCAAATCAAATGTTCTGTAATAGATTCAAAGCTTCAGTGAAGCAGTATTCAAAAGCGTCCATGATATTTATATTTAAATTATATGGTAAGTTTCCTGTTGGTATACTGTCATTTTAGTTTATGATCAAATTACTTAGTTACGGCGGCATAGTCAAAACCAAGTCATTTTTGGAACATGCATGTACTGTAGCCTATGGATATTATTAATTGTTTTGAAATTACGAGCAACGCCCTTGATTACAAAGCGAAAGTCTTACCAAGAACGAGTACAATCAAGATCCAAGAGAACAAGCTAAAGACATGTGTCATTTTGATGACGAATCCATTCCGTACACAACGATGTTCCGTACAGATGACCTTTTAACGTTAATCTCTGAATAAATACTTATGGGTCGTAGGCAAGCTATATATCTGTTTAATCTTTAATTCTCACTCTTTCAGCCCCAACCACAACAGAGACATTCCTACTATATGTTTCCGAGTAAAATCAGTAAGTTTGCTACGTCCACCTAATGCGCTTGAAAATAGAAAGTGGGCAAGCTTAAAGTGCGAGTGTCGCCTGGGAGGGGAGACATTTAAAGCCCGACAATATGCTTTTGCATTTAATTTATGCATCACACGGTATTACAGTCTTTATGAAGTGAATATTACGTTATCACAAAATGTTAAATAAATTATATTTTGTTGAATAAATGCTTTGAAACGGGGATGTTTAAACATCAATTGTGGGTAAATACCGCATGTCGCAAATCTCCGCCTGAAAGACAGGCTGCAAACGCTGTTTGGATCCTCATTTGCAGTAATGATGTTTATATTCATAAAAGGTCAGTCAAGTTAGCTTCAATGTGCATGAATTTAATGTTTTAATATTTTAAATTGTCATGCTGTAATAAAATAAACATGATATAAAAAGTAAATGATTTTGAAGCTATTTCATTTAAAACTTTCATAAAAGAGTTATTTATTATATCATTAACTTCAAGTTAAACACAATAATAGTATATTCTGACATAAGATTTTAATAAGACTTCAAACAATGCCCATTTTTTTGCCGAAAATTAAAGATATGCACGGAACACTATTTTAGTCGTGTACGGAACACCGTTAATACCTATCATCTTCCGTACACATGCGAAGGCGGTACTTATTCCATCTTTTCTCAAAAACTACTGGTCCAAAAGACATCAATCAAGATTTGGATTGTGCAATAGGTATTCCCCCAGAGAATGAACACACAAGCATGCTTATCTGGTTTTCAATGACGGAGGAGTGGTCGTTTGAGTGCGCTGAATAGCGAAAAGTGTACGGAACATGGTTAGTCTACGTTAAGTTTCCTGTTGGTATACTGTCATTTTAGTTTATGATCAAATTACTTAGTTACGGCGGCATAGTCAAAACCAAATAAGTCATTTTTGGAACATGCATGTACTGTAGCCTATGGATATTATTAATTGTTTTGAAATTACGAGCAACGCCCTTGATTACAAAGCGAAAGTCTTACCAAGAACGAGTACAATCAAGATCCAAGAGAACAAGCTAAAGACATGTGTCATTTTGATGACGCATCCACACGGTAACGTTAAACATATTCTGATTAATAAGACTGTTTTTTAACTAAAAAGATCATTTCGAAAAGTTTGCGGTTTTCCTCTAGACTTTGTCAGCAACTCACTTCCTCTGCGCGAACGCATGCACTCTTCTTCTTAAAAAAATGGCGGTTGCCATCCAGCGTTTCGGTGCATTACCGCCACCTTCAGCTCTAGAGTGTGGATCGGAGGGTTCACAGACATTTTTCCCCCTCTTTCCACCCTTTCACTCACACCTTAAACACCATTCTCATAGTAAACACCAGTTTCTCTCAAGAACTTTATAAAAATTCTGAACTGTACCCTGTCCTTTTTTTCTTAGTAAAGCTTTTAATGGATTTTCCTGAATCCCTATCTCCCTTAGATCATTTATTTCCTCGACCCCTCTGTCCTTCATACCTGTTGCTTTTTAAAATCACATGTTCTACTGACTCCTCTTCACTACAGCCCTCACACAGTCCAGTTTCATGCTTCCCTATTAATCCAATAGTTATATTAAATAAACAATGGATGTCCCAGTCTTAATCTGATCACTATTCATTTTCTTCAGTTACCACTATACTGACTGTTTAACAACCTGTTGAATTCGAGATAAAAGCCTTTTTCTCTGTCTTGCCTCTCCTGCTTTTCATTTATTCTTACCCATATTAGACTTTTTACTCTTGCTTTACTAACGTTTATTTTCATTTTTACATTTTCTTTTGTTAATGCTCTTTTTGCTCATCTGTCAGCCATTTCATTTCCCCTTATCCCTTCATGACCGGATACCCATATAAACTTCCCTGACTTGTTATTTTTGTTATACACTGGCGTTCTGCAAACAAAATATCTTGTTGACTTGATGAAAATGACCGTAGACTAGCAAGAGCTGATGCGGAAGACTTCTTCAACCCATCTTTATGCTATAAACATACTGTAGCTGGCACCTCCACTTTGTAAACCCCTAAATCAGATGTTCCTCTAATTAATCCTATAATTTAGTCTGGTATGACAATCCCAATACAAATACTCCAGTTTTAGGGTTTTTTTTTTTTTGCTCCATCTGTAAATCTCTGTGTTTGTACTCTTTATATTTTTCTTCAACTCTAATAAACATTCTTTCCAGATTGGTGCTTTGCCTTATTCCTCTAACACAGTCTACCTCTGGCCACACTAGTCTCCATAGAGCAATCTCTGGACAGACGACAGTGGAACATATCCTCAAATTAAACACTTTAAAAACAATTTGCCAGCATCTCTCCACACCGACCAAAATTCTCCTTTTGACTTTTCCCGTTTTCCCAACTCTAATACTGATTTAGCAATATGTGTATTTGAACACTCTTTTAAACCTACCAAATAATTAGCCGTCAACTGTTTCCTTCTTAATTCCAGTGGCAATTCTCCCGTTTCTACCAGAATAGCTGACTCTGGTGTTGTTTTAAAAGCTCCACAACACAATTACTTAAATTTTCTTTTTTTATTTAACTTGGCTGCTGACCATCTAACACTGACCGTATTAAAACTACATATATTTTATACAGTGATAGTAAGCTTGCACCCCACCCCCTTCCCCTAAAACACCTCATTGCATTAATCACCTTTTTTACACAATTCCTCCATTTATCTGATGTGGTGTACAAATGTTAAATGTGAGTCTAATTTAATTCCTAAAAAAAAATAATAAAACATTCAACCCTCTCTGCGTCTTTTCCATTCATCTGTAGCTTAATCCTTCTAGAATTCTTCTCCTAGTAAAGAAAAGAGACAGTTTTTTTTTCTATGGAAAACTGAAACCCCCAATCATATCCCCACTCAACCACTTTATTAGTTGCTTTCTTCTTGTAACTTCTTAATTACATGTTCCATATTAATTTCTCTCTTCCACAATGCTCCATCATCTGCAAATAGACCTACCTATATCTTCTGGTACCTTCTCCATCACATCATTGATCATTATAATCAAAGTAATGGACTGACTGGTGATTTTTAGGTTAAAACTGTAAAATATCCACACACTTGGCTGTATCGTTAGCCCAGGGAAAACCATATAACAAACCCAGTAGATCATGGAAGCAAACACCTAAGACAATATGACCCCAGTCTGTCATCGGAAAGAATGGGCTGTCATTACTGTCTTCTCAGAGGATAAGCAACTCAGTCTGTGAATAATAATGAGAAACCAATGCATCATCACTCCACCAGCATTTGAGCGCTACGTCGCCGACTTTGATCCACCCCCAATAATGTGTTTAAGCTGACAAAAGCTCCTAATTATCCAGTTTTAAGCTATAGGTACTAATGTTGTATTAACTGATGCTCAACACACCTATTGTAGATCTGTTAGAATCTCAAAAAAAAGTACTCCAGGGTTTTTTAAACCTATAATTCATACTCTTAGTCTTATTATTGAGTCCTACTTCTGCTATATTTTCCATTAAAGTTGTCCTTTGCCAGGAAATAGAAAATGAAGAGCATATACTTAAAGTGTACAATATATTAAAAGGCAAAGTTCACACAGCCCAGTTTGATGTTACCCTATAATATAAAGTGTTTAGTCCACTTTTATTCCACTGACTATTTTTAGTCTGTTTAAGATGGTCTCTCCTCTTCTGTTTTACCTTTAATTTTCCACGCTGCACACTTTTTTCTACTCTGCCATGCATTAACAAACAAACAACACTCTTTCCTAATAATCTCCAAGTCTGATATCTACATCTATGTTGTTGTTTTTTAATTTTTTTTTGTGTAACGCTTGTTTAAAACTCTATCAGCTTTTTTATTACATTTACATTTAGTCATTTAGCAACTTACAAATGAGGACAAGGAAGCAATTTACATAACTATAAAAGCAACAATGAATAAGTGCTGTAGGCAAGTTTCAGGTCTGTAGTCTAAGAAGGAAAGTATTAGTACTTTTTTTTTTGAGTACAGTTAGTGGTATACCCAGAGAGGCAATTACAGATTAGCAAGTGAAGTGGAGACTAAATATAGTTGAGTTTTTAGTCGCTTCTTGAAAACAGCGAGTGACTCTGCCGTTCTGATGCAGTTAGGGAGTTCATTCCACCAACTGGGCAGATTGATTTATTACCTTTTATACCTACATGAGCTGGGACTCACGTAAGTTTAATTTCACATCCTTTATCTTTAATTCCTATATACATAGACAATATATCTTAAAGAGTCCCTATTATGGGTTTTTGAAAATGACCTTTCATGCAGTGTGTATCACAGCTCTAAGTGAAGTGAGCTAAGGCTTAAATCTGAAAGTGCGCCATGTTTAAAACTATTGATTCATCTGTAAAAGACGACTCAGAGTAGTTTGAATGAATTATCGAGGTAACAAATTTTTAGACATGTCGGCGTGACCAGAGGTGGGTAGAGTATCCAAAATCTAAGTACTTGCGGAAATCTTTACACAAGTTAAAGTAAAATTAACAATCTTAAAAGTTACTTAGTTACATTTAATATATATATATTCATTCATTCATTTTCCTGTTGGCTTAGTCCCTTTATTAATCTGTGGTCGCCACAGCGGAATGAACTGCCAACTTATCCAGCAAGTTTTTATGCAGCCCTTCCAGCCGCAACCCATCTCTGGGAAAAAAAATTAAAAATTATATATATATTTATTTATATATTTATTTATTTATATATTTATTTATTTATATATAGGGCAACACGGTTGCAATGTCCACAGCAAGAAGGTTGCTGGTTTGAGCCACAACGGGGTCAGTAGGCGTTTCTGTGAGGAGTTTGCATGTTCTCCCTGCGTTCATGTGGGTTTCTTCTGGGTGTTCCAGTTTCCCCCACAGTTCAAAGACATGCTGTACTGGTGAATTGGGTAGGCTAAATTGTCCAGTGTGAGTGTGTGTGAATGAGTGTGTGTGGATGTTTCCCAGAGATGGAAAGGGCATTCGCTGCTTAAAAATGTGCTGGATAAGTTGGCGGTTCATTCCGCTGTGGCGACCCAGATTGATAAAGGGACTAAGCCGAAAAGAAAATAAATGAATGAAAATATATATGAATCATTTTCCAAAGGACTGGACTGGGTTGGGGCTTGCTTGCTTCTCCACCAATAGATTTTCACGATCTTTATTTTTTTCTTGAGAAACCTGTAAAAATTCAGCCCTAATTCCTAGTTGGATTTTTGGAACAAATGAAGATGAAGACTTTAAGTCACTAAGTGGATCTAAAGGCGTCTGAATCATCAGCTTTTCACCTATGGCCTTTCTATCTTGGCTTCATCTTTGCTCAATAAATCTAATGATAAAGTGTGAGATGTCATGGATGTCCATGATGTCATGGAGATGTTGTCTAGTTTTTAGATTTTACCATTTCCAAAGGTTTCAGATTTGTTTTGTGAGCACATCTG